TCCATATTCTCATTTTAATGAAAAACATTGGACTATTTTGCATTCGAATTTTGTGCTCATTGTCTTTCTTTACTTTATTGAATTTTAAAAAATGGTCATGTGACCTTACATGCACACACACACATTTGCAGATCCACATCCACTCTATATCTCATTGACAACGATTCTGCTATTGCCATCTATGACTTTGAAAATCCAATCTACCAAACCGAAGATGAAGGTGAAGAAGATTGTGAAATACCTGGGGAACTTGCCAGACTCCTGAGTCAAGAGGAAAAGTCCATTCAACCGGATGAAGAACCTGTTGAAATAATAAACCTAGATACTGAGGCAGATAAGAAAGAAGTCAAGATCAATGTCAATTTGGAAGACAGCGTCAAGAGAAGATTGGTCCAGATGTTGCACGATTATGGTGAGGTGTTCGCTTGGTTATATGAAGATATGTCGTGACTTGATACTGGTATCATAGTTCATCATCTGCCAATGAAAGAAGGTTGTCCTCCAGTCAAGCAAAATGTTTGACGCATGCGGCCAAATATGTTCGAGAAAATAAAAGTTGAGGTAATGAAACAGTTCAATGCAGGTTTCCTGGCTGTGATGTTATATCGTAGTGGGTTACAAATATGGTCTCAAGTTTCTGTGAAGACTTTTTCCATCTCTTCTTCCTTCCCTGAAGGATTGACTTGGGAGGTAACCAAAGTCTTAACCAAAGCAGTTAGATATTCCATATCAGCCTTCAAAGTATCTACCTCTTTGTGGAGTTCAAAGATCTCTTGCTTAATGTTTTCCATCTTCTCTTAGCACGAGTGTTGTACCGATGAGACAACTTGATTCTGAAGACCAGAGGACCTCGGGTAAGAATTCTGGACAACCCATGAAATGCATAGTTAAGCGTAAAATGATGCATGATATGTAATGCAAATTCCACGTTTTCATTTCCAAAAGTTTCTATGCTTTGATTCCTGTTAATAAACCACGATATTATCATTTTTTTGTATTATATATATATATATATATATATATATATATATATATATATATATATATATATATATATATATATATTAATGTTTATTTTTTTTTCTTAACAATTAGAATCAAGGAAATGATGTTTGGAAACAAAAAACATGTATGTTGATAATTACATTAACATGCTATGTATAAAAGCATGTGGGATCAAAGCTTCCACAATACTGGATAGCTGCTGAACTGATAACAGAACCACAGACACATGTAATAAGATCAAAGGTTTGGACAAATTCAGAACACCAAAGAACCAAAGCCACCAATAAATCATAGTCACCATTTGTACCTGTAAAGATTATTACCTCCCCACTCACGGGTAAAGACTAGGCCGGGGTAAGGTCAAAGGCCAAATCAGAGTCAAAGAGCTCATCTGTTGGTATCATCATACGATGACACCCATCTGAACATCCTATGAAGTCATGGATCTCATGGCTAGGTCTACAAGACATCCGCCTCATAGCTGCCATGGCCACTATATTCCTAGTTCCTATGGAATTCACTCATAGCCTGGGTGTGAGGCCTTTTACCTCATGGAATAACCCACCCACCAAGAAAACCAGAATCCAGCACATTAGATAACCCATATGGAAAGCAATAAAATACAATGCAAACATATGCTCAGATAAACATGTATAAATGAATAAACTTAGAGCATAGAAAATAAACACCAAAAGAAAATAAAACAAGAGCTAGGATCGACTCCGAGATGAACCGGCATTTGGTTAACTTTTCCCCAGTTAAGTCGCCATTTTTCTGTAGAGGTAAAATCAATGAACTCGCCACCGAGTACTTATTTATCCCATAAAATGGAAAGTAAAATTATCGAAGAAAAACCTAAAGGGGAAATCAAGGTCTTGCGACCGAGAGATTGAGTAAGGGAGTCGATTACACGAGGGGAAGGTATTAGCACCTTACACGTCCGTAGTGCTCTATGGGATCCACTCTTATTTTTCTAATTAAAGGGTGTGTTCAATATATTGCTTAAGAGTTATAAACCAAGACGGAATGCATGCAAAGAAAACACAGGGAAAAGAAGGAAATATTTACAAATTTTTGCTCGGCTGAGCCCCGTGACCAGATGCCTATGTATCCCTTTTTAGGAATCAGAGCGCCGTAGTTCGGCTCACATATTTTATTTGTTTGTATCTTTTAAATGAACAATATTGAATTCAATCATTCCACCGCTGCTCGACCTTTGGAGACTTAAGATCTGTAGTGGAAAGGAACTAACATGCTCTTAGAAGAGAAAAGCCGAATGGCGAAAAGAAATGGATTGATTGGTATTTTTTACCATGAAAAGAATTTTTGTATGCTTAGAATTTTTTTATACATTTGCCAAGAAAAAGAAGTTTTAGTTTTAAATGCAATTATCCAAAAGGGGAAAGAAAAGTCTAAAGGGAGATTAACCTATCTCTAACCTAACGTTATCATACAATTATTGATCCTAAAGTCGAGCTTGAAAGGGAAATTTCTACCCTAAGTTGACATGCTTGGATAACAGTCCTAATGTCTATCTCAACTCACCATCTATAGATGAATCAAGAAGTCCTAAAGGAGCATAGCAACGGTCTATCATCTCAAAACATACAAAAACGAAACCAAGCAAGTAGGCCAATAAGCTCAAGAGAGCATACCTAGAGAGATCCTACGTAGATTAGCATGCCAAAGAAAGTCTAACAAACTATCCTATAGGGAACATACAATGAGAGGGAAGTCGTGATCCCAATTTCTAAATTGAGTGACTCATCGATCAACAAGAAATAAAGGAAAGCGATAAAATCCTATAGGGAGCATGCACTGAGAGCGGAGTCGTGATCTCAATTTATAAATTGAGTGACTCATCGATCAACAACCAAGGAAACAAACACAAGCACGACACATATAGCAAATGAAGTGCAAAATGCCTGCTACATGTCTTTAAACAACGACTTTGTGCGCACGCTCTTTATTTCCTACTTCTCATGATATCTAGAAAGCGATAAATGCGGAAATATAACTTGTAAGTAGTATAATACCAAACGAACAACAATGTCTGCAAAAAGCGCAACCAAAGCGAAGAAACCTAGAATACTTCGTGCGAGATGACATCAACAAACAAACAGTCAGAGATCGAATATTTAGAATAAGTGTCGAAGCTTCATCTATGTGAAAATAAATCACCATCAAAATCCAAACACATCCACATATCAACCAATGAACCTTCATAAGACTCAACTCAACAAGCAAAGGTGAATCATAAGTCTCAAGTAATCTAAAAATTAGGACTTAATTTCCTAAAAATCAAATGAGAAATCTAACAAATTTTTATTATTTTTTGTAAATTTTTAATCACGGAAAGATACAAAAAAATTAGAAAATCCTAAATTCCATCTATGTATTTTTTTTCACTAATCTTTATTAGAGAAAATTTAAAAGTGAATTTACTAAAAGAAAAAATTAACACAATTGAAATATAGTCAGGGGGTGAAGCATATTCCTGGGAGTTTACTCCAGTAAAATATTAGGCATTAGGCCCACCAATACATGGTTTTTTTATGGCTTCAAAAATAAACACAATCTGGTTTATGAGATGAAGGCCCAGACAGCGAATCCATGATGATTTTTTTTTTAGCAATCAAACTACACAAAAAAAGGTGTACGGATGGGCCAAAGCTGCCAAAAAACCAGATATGGGCCTAGAGAGAGACGCGTATCGGTTTAATTAGTCATCAAGGTGATGTTATCATCCAGTTACAATAAAAACATGTTCCGGGATTTAAGGGGATAAACTTGATCTACGACCCATAATCCAAGATCCATCAATAGAACAAACATACAACATATAAAAAATTAGGGATCAACCTATGAACGTTCATCTTCTTTCAGGGAAATCACTTTTGTCTCATGCGACGTCTAACGATTCCACTATCGTAACCATTTCCGCATAATTTTCGTCTCTCATCCTTTAATACCCTCATCCATGGCCGATTAATCTTCAGAACGACCTCCTTCGTCTATGCCTCTGTCGCAATCTTTCTCACTCCGCGAGCGTTCGCGGATTCAAACGAAACCTAATAACTTGTATGAACCATACAATATAGAAGATTGATGCAGAAAAGAAACGTTGCTTACCTATCGGAGTAGCTCCGACAACTCTTGTTTGACAATGAAAACGCTAGAGGAAAACCAAAGATACTGAACCAAAGATACTGATGTGAAGTGTAGGTAATCCAACTTGATCTCGTGCGTTCTTGGTCGTTGATTTCTTCTTCTCCTCTTCAAAATCTGCTTTTGTCTTGCGATTTCTGCATGATGCCTTTTTTGGTTACGATATTGAATATTGTTGTTGTGCTTGCAAGATTAACGGCTATGCTGAAGCAGATGTGTTGTTGTACGAAGGAATGCTTGAGGAACATGAAAATTAAAGTTGTATGATGAATAAGCGATTGAAGGAGCATTGATGATTGAAGAATGAAAGATGAAGATGTGTAGTGGCTGCGGATTGTTGAAGGTGCGGTTGAAGCTGAGAATCAATAATGATTGGTGATGGGGTCAGTCCAGAATGAAGACGGAGGAGAATGAAGATTTTAGATGAAAGAGGGAATGGAAGGTTCAATATGAAAGGAGAGAGTGAAGGTTGAAAAGTGGAAGAGAGAATGAGATCATAGCAAGGTGAATCCCTTTTCCTCTTTTCTTTTCTGTTATGAATCCCCCCTTTTAGAAATCTGTTACCAATCTGTTAGCACCTGCATCTCCCAATTCTGTTAAGAATCTATTAGCACTTCTCTCTCCCAATTCTGTAACGAATTTGTTAGCACTTTTTCTCACAATTCCTTTATTGTTGTTAACAATTAGCTCCGAAACCATTAGAAGTGTTAGAGAGTTAGTTATATGTTGATGAGCTGGCAAATTTCTATTACAACTCAGTTAATCAGCTAGCTGCAAGTTGGAAACCTGTTGGTTCTTTTATGTAGACTGTTAAGCTATCCCTTTTTTTAAACTTTTGAACTGTTGAACTGTTTATTGTGTTTAAGAATATGGCAAGGCTGAAGTGTTGAAGAGGTTATTTTATCAAGAATATGATTACTGGAACCTCCTAGGTTGATTATGCTGTCCTCATGCTGCTTAAATTTCATCCTAGGAGAATGCATATCCCCTGGTAGTTTCTGGGAGTTCATGATGATATTTTCTGCTTTTATAAATTCTCCATTTTTCACATTGTCGTTTGTGTTGTTTGTAACATCCGAAGCCTTTTGCCCAAACAAGCAACTGCAACTTCAGAACTCCATATGCTTACAATGCCTTGTTTACCAACAGTAACAAAATGTGTTGCTTGAGAAACAACATTTTTTTTTGAATTTTGCCGATAGGAATCTAATGATTAAGCAAAAGGACTCCCAGTACTAATAGGACAAACAAATTCAACTGCCTCATTTATGATGACAGTCTTCTTGATATTATAATTTATAAGATCCCACAATGTTACAATCTTATCTATTCTGGCACTGAGCAGTGCCCATCCATCTTCAGATACTGCAATGGAAGTCACTGCAGAGCGATAATTATCTAGGATTACAATGCAGGCCCTGTGTAGCAACAGGTTAGATGTTGATGTAATTTTGCATTTGGTATGGCATCTAGGTAGTGAACTTGGGTAAGTGTTATGAACTTGAAATCTAACTGACCTTGTATTGCATATGGATGTTAGAATGATGAACGGTTGGAATTGTTGCATATTAATCATGGTGTCATATTTAAGCATGTTCCAAGGTAGTTGAACACATGGAGATAGCATGGAGAATCATGTTTAAGACAAGAAGATTGAATTGTGGATAAGAGGATGATAAGTCATGAATGTCTTAGCATGGAGAGGACATGAGGATCTTTAGATGCTTAGATCATTAGGTGTTTTATGATGTTATCATGTAATTATCCTTGTGCAATGCGACGTGTTTCTAACAATTTTGTGATGCCAATGGGATAAAACATCTTGTAACCCCTTTTTAATTCAATGACAAATCCCAGAAATCCAGAATAATTGTCCTCTCAAATTGAATATCTTTCCTCTTGATTTTGTAATGGACTAATGGAATGATGATATACGTGGCATTTGAAGAATTTAATTTGGAACTCTTTAAGGGATGACGTATGTCTTGTAACTTACTTTACCTAAGATATCCGCATATATGAATGTTTTAATCTTGCACTTTTGAATTACTTTGTGACAAATCAATGTTGATGCCATGGCGAAACCATAAACCAAAACCTTAATTACCCTGGTTATATTGAACTAATAGCCCATTTGGATAAAGCTTTTAATCTTGAGTCCACATTACTTTGCAGTTGAAACAACTTATTTCAATTGAATGACCAGTGACTTTAGTCCATATATCAACCAATCAATAGACATATCAAAGCAATCATTATCCAAAAGAACTCTCCTATAAAAAAATGTCTTACTCCCAAAGAATTCACAATTTCACACCTTGTGTCATGATTCATGTTTTTATACTTTAAACCCCAAAGACATCCTAGCTTGATAACCAACAATCTTGCAATGAGATTAAAACTATGAGGAACAAATGGAAGACAAGAGATAAGACTTGAAGTATGAAGTCCAATGACCTTCAGTTGAAATGTTGACAAACTCAACCACCAAGGATAAAAACCCTAATTCACTGATAAGTATCATAATGAGAATAAGATATCAATTCAATCCTCTAAACTTCTTGAAAAGAATATCTTGTGGTGAAAACAATTAGGAGGAAACCCCAATTCTATTTATTTGGACGCATAATGATGAGGATATGACTTGAGGCATTGAGAGGAATCAAAACCCTAATCTCGTACCAAGAATGATAAGAGCACTAGTTGAATCAACATGAAGAATGTAACAACCTTAGTCCACAGAGAAAAACCCTAATGCCAAAAGCTCTTTGATCCCGTAACCATGGAACCAATGCTATGTATGAGATGTACAGAGTATGATGAGGGATCTTAGGGGAAAAAAGTGGGGTATAAAAATACCAAGAAGTAAGTAAAAGGCTTCTTAGGTCGACTTAACTACATTTCCCGATTCATCTCTCACTTAACTACTAATTGTGAGCCAATCTTCAAACTGCTGAAGAAAGATCAAGTAGTCATATGGAATGATGACTGCCTAACAACTTTTGACAAGATCAAGGAGTATTTACAAGAACCTCCAATCGTAATGCCTCCAGTTGAAGGAAGACCTCTGATTATGTACTTGATTGTATTAGAAAATTCAATGGTGTGTGTGTTGGGCCAACATGATGAGTCTGGCCGAAAAGAGCAGTCAATATACTACCTTAGCAAAACATTTACCGATTGTAAAACTAGATATTCACTGCTCGAGAAAACTTGCTGTGCTTTGGCATGGGCTGCTCACCGGCTAAGACAGTATATGTTGACTCACACCACTTTATTAATTTCTAAGATGGATCCCATAAAGTATATCTTCGAGAAGCCAGCTCTCTCCGGACGAATAGCCAGATGAGAAATGATTTTGACTGAATACAATATCCAGTATACTACACAAAAAGCAATCAAAGGAAGTGTACTGGCAGATCATTTAGCCTATCAAGTTGTTGATGACTACCAATCTATGAACTTTGAATTCCCGGATGAGAACATCATGATAGTGACAGACTGTGAAGAACCTGGACCGTATGAAGGACCTGAGCAAGGATCCCGATGGACTATGGTTTTTGATGGAGCCTCCAACGCATTGGGTAACAAAATCAGTGTTGTAATCATTTCTCTCGAAGGGTGCAATACCCCTTTTACCGCCAGACTCTGTTTCGATTGTACAAACAACATAGCTGAGTATGAAGCGTGCATCTTGGGTCTAAAGGATGTCATTGACCTAAGAATCAAATTCTTAAGTGTATATGGATATTCGGCCTTGGTAATTTGTTAAGTCAAAGGAGAATGGGATACTAAACATCTGAATCTAATCCCTTACAAAGAGCTTGTGCTAACCTTGATTTCGTACTTTGAAGAGGTCAACTTTGATCATATCCCGAGGGAAGAAAATCAGTTGCCAGATGCCTTAGCAACTATGTTGTCTATGTTCAAGGTTAATTGGGACAACGAAGCTCCCAGAATTACTATCAAAACATTTGACAAACCTTCACACTGTCATGAGATTGACATTGATGAAGAGAAGACTTGGTACCATGAGGTGAAGAGGTACCTTGAAACACAAGAGTATCTTGAGGGAGCCCCAATCAACGACAAAAAACTCATACGGAGGTTCTCATCCAAAATCTTCCTAAGCAACGGGATCCTGTACAAGTGCAACCATGATTCAACTCTGCTCTGTTGTATGGACAAGAAGGAGGCAGAGAAGATCATGAAATACATGCATGAGGGTATCTTCGAAACTCACTCTAGTGGAAACACTATGGCCAAGAAGATTCTGATGGCTGGTTACTATTGGTCGACTATGGAAACTGATTGTCACCGCCACTCAAAAACTTGCCATAAGTGTCAGATCTATGTCGACAAGGTTTTTGTACCTCTAATACATTTAAACGTCATGACCACTCCATGGCCATTTGCAATGTGGGGCATTGGCATGATTGGAGAAATCAAGCCCACTGCCTCTAATAAACATTGTTTCATCCTTGTCTCCATTGATTACTTCACCAAATGGGTCGAAGCTGCTTCATTTGCCTTAGTTACCAAGAACGTTGTAGCCCTGAAAGGATCATCACTGACAATGAAACCAACCTCAACAATTCCAATCACTGACAACAGAACCAACCTCAACAATTCCATGATTACTGAACTCTACACGCAGTTTAAAATCAAGCATTACAACTCTTCCCCATACAGACCTAACATGAATGGCGCGGTGGAAGCTGCTAATAAGAACATAAAGAAGATCGTTCAAAAGATGGTGGTGACCTTTAAAGACTGGCATGAGATGCTACCATTCGCTCTTCATGTCTATTGTACCTCAGCATGAACATCAACTAGGGTAACCCCATTCTCTTTAGTCTATGGCCTGGAAGTCGTCCTGCCTGTCGAAGTTCAAATTCCTTCGTTGAGGATTATGAAAGAAGCAGACTTAGGCGAAGATGAATGGATTCAGACAAGATTGGATCAGTTGAACTTGATAGACGAGAAGAGACTGGTTGCTGTTTATCATGGTTAAATGTATCAAAAGCGTATGATCAAGGCACTCAATATGAAGATCAAACCTCGAGTATACTAATATGGAGACTTGGTAATAAAGCGTATCATTTTACCACAAGGTGATCCCAGGGGAAAATGGACTCCCACTTACGAAGGACTATTTATTGTCAAGAAAGTATTCTCTAGCGGTGCTATGATGTTAACCACTATAGATGGCGAAGATTTACCACATCTTGTGAACGCGAACATAGTAAAAAATTACTACACATAAGAATGACCCGCTAGGTTGACATACCTAGGAAAAAATCAGGGCATCCCGGTAAACCATAAAGGTTTGGGCAAAAATTAGGGATATATACAAAAGATTGTACACCCGGCAAGTCGAAAACCTGAAAGGGTGGCTTGGGCAAAAAAGGGTATCCTGGTGGACTGAAAACCTGAAAGGGTGGTCCAGGAAAAAGTTAAAGATTAAAGCGTACGACTATGTCCCATCAGATCACTAACAGTCAGCTTTATTACCAAGGTCAAAAGTTCAAATGGTACGAGATCAATTTAACCAACTTCTTTTGACGGAAATGGATGATGTTCGAAGATATAGGGGAAATAGAGGACTTGAAACCCAATGAGGTCACTTCCACATGGCTATACAATTTTTGTTTTCACTTTGTATTCCTTTCATTTTTCGACGACTTCCTCTTACTAAACGCATGTTTATAGGCAAAATATCAATACAAATATACTTCGAAGTGCATACTTTTTGTTTTTCTGTTTTGATTGCAAAAATGTCCAATGAATAAAATTGAATGAACATATGCATATGAACATTGATTAACTATTAACAAATATACTCACAAGAACGGTAATAAGCGTTTACTTAAGGATTTGGGATATCCCCACATAGGCACTTCAATAGGATTATCCCCATAGAGTGAAGTCATACAATCTCCATCCAGAGTTCCAATCAACATATCTCCAGGAAATTTTTTTCCCCAGTAAGGCTTTCAGAATACTTTCCTCAACAGGGTTTATTCCTCCAACTACTACAAATCAACTAACAAAACCCCTCTTCTCCAATAGAGTTGATACTATCCCTACAAAGTTGTTGTAAAGCCTGGAATCCAACCAGATAACAGTTAACTTTACGCCCTCAGACAAACTGGAAGTATAAAGAACTAAATTCCCTAGTAGAGCAATGGACAACTAAAGCTCATGGACTCCATTCCCCAAGAAGAAATCAACATTCCCCGCAGAGTTTCCTCAAACAGTAAACAGGAATTCCCAACGGAAGCACTCTAGACAAGGTTGAAGATACACATACTCTTCACCCCTAACGATAGTCCAGGATTTAGCTTCCCAAAAATCCCTAGCAGTAATCATGGATTTATTTTCCCAGACAAAGATACACTTCAATAACATTTCACGTTCATACATCATAGCATATACATGACAAAATGCATACAACATGGTCTCATATTTTGATAACATCATTACATAATGCATGCATCATAACATCGCATACATCTAATTCTTTACCTTTTCAGGAAAGATCAGTCACCAGCTGATTACCATCAACAACAAACATTTCCAAGTTTAAGACCT